CATGAGCACATTATACTATGTTTTGCCTCTTGTGCGCCCTGATAAATGGAGATGCTCAGCTCAGACTAGAGAGGAAATACTGGGTTTGTCACTGAGGATGATGTGTCAAGTCCAGCCAACTTTACTACAGTGGCAAAATTTACCATTCCTGATGGACTTTTTGATGCCTCTCCTGAAAGAATAACTGTTTACAATTGTCAGACTTCAGGGATTATTGTTTTAAAATGACACACTTATTATTCATCACAATTCAAGCCTTTTTTCAGACTTGCTTGCTTACAATAGCCTCAACATTTAAGCTAGTAGTAGAACAGTTGTAAATATTGTTTCATTTAGTGTAGAACTCTTTGGTTATCACCATTGTTTCAATGAGCCAGTTTGGTGTAGTGGTTAAGTGCGTGGACTCTAATCTGGGTGAACCGGGTTTGATTCCCCACTCCTCCACTTGCACCTGGCTGGATGACCTTGGACAAGCCGTAGCTCTGGCACAGCTGTTCTTGAAAAAGAGCCGTTTCTGTTAGAGCTCTCTCAGTCCCACCTACCTCACAGGGTGTCTGTTGTGGGGAGGGGAAGGGAAAGGAGTTTGTAAGCCGCTCTAAGACACCTTTGGGTTGTGAAGGGTGGGGTATAAATCCAATCTCTTCTTCTTCTTCAAGTAGAGTTTTATATATATATTTGTATCTTTGAATTTTTTCCTCAAAAAGACCACTTTTGTCCACTTTTGTTTTGGGGGCAAATTTCCCATTTTGTGTTGCTTTATGTACTATTAGTATATAATACACCTTGCACAGTATTTTTGTTTTGTTTTGTTTCAAGAGTATTGAATGTTTCAGTTTTGGAGTATTTTCACAGAAACCAAATACTGTTGGTCTAATATTTACTGAAGAGCCAGCCCATGTTTAAGGATTAAAGTTCTAAGAAGCATACATCCCGGGGGGGGTTTTGGGGGGGAAACCCCTTATGATGTAATGCAGAATGGTGAATTTTTCAAGCCCCACAATGATGCACTCCTGAGAATGGAATCAAGCCATTAGTACATTGTGGAGAATTACTGTTTCCAAAGAGACACCCTTGAGAAAGGAAGTACTGTAAATGAGAAAGCTGCAATGTTGTTCTAATATTTGTTGTTTCCCTTGAAATGACTAAAATACCTGAAATGATTTATACCTAATTGAACATTGCCTTCAATCTGATAGGGTACACGTTCTCAGACCATTTATTATGTAGAACTCCTGAGAATACATGGTGAATATTTACCTTAACTTGGCTAGGTCAAAGGAAATTTAAAAAAATACCACAATTTTCATCCCATAAATACATATTTTCATCCCACTGTCTTATGATTTGATATGATTTTTTAAAATAAAATAATCAACCTGGAAAAAAATCAAGACTGATTAGTGTGTGTTTATATTGCTCTTGGGGATCTATAGGGGTCTAGGCTGGGATAGAGAAATGGGTTGCAGTCTACCTCTGCCACCAGCGATGGTTGGGACCCAAAGAACATTGAGCTAATTCGAAGTGCTGGGGGGGGGGGTTGTGTGTATTTGTGTTTCTAAATCAGCAGCCTCCTTTGCCATTTTGTGCACCGCTTTAGAAATTGAGATCTCATAAAGAAGCTTGTCATAGGACACAGGGGTCTGCAGTTGGAAGAGGAAAAAGAGCCAAAAATCATACTGGGCATGCCTAAATCCATGGTCATATGTAAAATAGCTCTTTAGGTCTGAGCCTGTGGAGTTCTTTTAGCCTCCGGATGTCAATGCAGACATCGTCAAACTACCATGCATGGTATTAGTTTTGCCAAGTATCCTTTTGCATGTGAATGCTTCTGTATAAACTCAATAGTTACTTTTAAAATACAGAAAACAATACTTTTAAAGTAACGAGTTTAAACAATATCTTTAAGACAGGAGATTCTTTCTCTCTCCTGGCTTAAAGGTAATTCAAGAAGGTTTAACAATGCTTAATAGATTAATAGTGCAATCCTATGCAGTTGTTTCATTCTATTAATTTTAGTGCATTGGAGCAATGCTGCATAGGTTCATTCTGTAATTCTGCGAAAGCCAGATCTTATGTGAATCTTACGTTGACCCTCTTAGCTTCTCTTGAGTTCAGTGTCAATAAGATTAAGCAATGGCCTGAAAAGAATCAAGCCATTCAGTGTGTTCCTACGCTGTGAAAGGCAGCAGGGTAGATTAAAAAAAAAAAGGAAGCAAAAAATCACTTCTAATTTCTTATCGTTTCTAATTACAGCAGTGTGGAGTGTAGGCAGTGTGACGGATTCCAAAAAGGGAACACCTGGAGAAGGGCGTTGTGCAGACATAGGGCGGTGTGGAGAAATGGAATGTTCAGGAGGTTGATGGACAGAAAATGGACAGAGGGGGGAGAACGGGTCGGAGAGTGAGGGAGGAGGTGAAGGGCGGTTGGAGGTTAACAGCCATAGGGAACTGACATATTTTGGGAAGAATCCCAGAGGGCGGTTTGATTGTTGGAACATATGGAACGTGTATCTGATTAAGGTGGTGCTGGAGGAAAATGCGAGGTGTCGCAGTAAAGTCGTTTTATTCTGTTAAACAACGGAGTCCGGTCACTAATTTCCGCCGGTTTTAAAAGCCTTGGAGTGAACCAGGAGAGTTTTACAACGAAGAACGGAGCCAGTGGGTAAGTGGTCCCCGCTACTACCCGAAGCTAGCAGTGTCCCTCGTAAGAGAAACCCAGAGTGGTGTCCTGAAGGTGATGGCCTGTAAGAGCCCGTAACAGCAGCAAGCCATGTTGAACTGTGGCTAGTGAGCTTCTGCATCACTGTCTCCCATGTACTCTTTAATGATCCTGGAATGGTCAGGAATCTTGAGTTTCCCCCTGTCTGAAAGACAGACCCCAAGCAGCGCAGGGCTCCCTTTGCCCCATGCTGGAACTTCGTTTTACTGCTGCCTGATGGGCTTCTTTTCAGTCTTACCAGACTCAACCATTGAGTTTTGGAAACCTTTAATGTTATTTCTATCCCCCCCCCCCAATAACAAGAATAGTATTTTGTGATCTGTTTTGTATCTCGGCAGACATGATTCCCCCCATGGCAGTTTGATGCCATTCTTGTAGCGAGGTACTACAGTGTTGTGACTTTCCTTTCTTCCCCCAACCCAGATTATTAAGATTTCTGGTTATAATAAATAAATAACGTAATTAGGCCGATAAGTCAATGTTTCGTTTTATACCATAACAAAATGGGGAACTGACCAAGACTGAGTCCCTGAAATAGAATGCTTTAACCATGGATTCCTAGTACAAAATACGATACATATGTTACGTGTGTTTGTCACCACTGTGGTGTAGTGGTTAAGAGTGTCAGACTAGTATCTGGAAGACCCAGGTTCAGATCCCCACTGGTGCCATGGAAGCTTGCTGGGTGACCTTGGGCCAGTCACACACTCTCAGCCTAACCTACCTATTGTGAGGATAAAATGGTGGAGGGGAGAATGATGTAAGCCACTTTGGGCATAGTATAAATGAATTAAATAAATAAATAAATATGCTGACGCTTGCATATGTGTGTGAGCCATGCTGAGTGCATGGATGGATAGTGAACCTCGTACATTGAGGCAGCCTTACTACTATGGATCTGTATTCCAGCGATCAAGTAATAGTGGAAGAATATCTTGTCGGAAGTAGTTTCTAGTACCTTTCCTTTAGAAACAAAGCCCGTGTGCTTGTGTAGCTGCTAAGTGGTAAAAATACTGAAGTGAGTGCTTTGATTTGTGATCCCTGCATGGTTAATTTAAAAGGGCTATATAGATGTTGAATAGGAACATAAATTAATCCAGCGTGTTCTTTTAAAAACATGTTTTTCCAGAAAAAATGACTGTAGGCATATATGAATCCTTTGCTACTTACTACCTCAAGGTAATGACTACTTTCGGGCAATTGTCACAGATTATTCTCTTTTTGTTTGAAGAATGTCTTTTTGTTTGCATTGGTTTTGTATGTCAACTGCCCTGTGGCTCAGTGTGAACAGCCTCCTTAAAGTCTACAATATTGTTCTCTTCCAAACACTTTGGTATATTAATGTATTTCTGCATTTCCTCTAGGGGCTGAAAATGTCACTTAGCGATCCTCCAAGTCCCTTAGTGATCCTCGAAGTCTTCACTAGCTCAGTGCAGATGTCCTAGAGGTAGACAACATAGCCAAGGTTTCCGTAGGCTGCCCCCAGTCAAGTTTCTTTTAAGTCATCTTTCTATACTGCCTTTAGTATGAAAGATTATTTTGGTTGAGCTATGCTTAAAATGCTGTTTACTTTTATATACTCTCAAATTTATAGTAAATTTTGTTTGGTTGTAAATGAATTATATTTTATAGACAGAGTGTCTGCTGGGTTGTGGGTTTTTTTTTGTATTTAGTGTATGTGCGTATGTGCTTGCGAATCTGGAAGTCCTGGTGACTTCTGGCGACCCCTAGTGGGGCTCGGACGTTTCAGAGAGGTGGCTTTGATATCACATGCCTCTGCGTCCTGGCCCTAGTATCCCTGGAGGTTGCTTTCCAAGTACTTGCCAGAGTCGGCCCTGCTTAATTTCCGAGATCTGACAAAATCGAGCTTGCCTGGGCTATCCAGGTCAGACTGCCTACTATTTTTTAAGACACAATACATGTATATTTTTAAAATTCTAGCATGAGCTGTTGGTAAATGTTCAGGTGAAGTGAAATTCTAAGAATTTTCCATGCATACACGTGTATGACTGAATGGTTAATTGCAACCTAAATTTTAATGGAATATGACTTTGATTAATAGACACTTTCTTTTTTCTATGCCTGCAATTTTAATTAGTCTTTTTTAAGTTAAACTTATTAATGAAACAAAAAGATTGAATTCCTTTAAAAATGAACTCGCTGGCTGAGCTCCTGTAATGTGGTTCTGCTTTTATCATGCTCCTATATGACACATGTAAAATGAAATAATTATAAAGTAGGCTTTATTAATAATATGATGGTTTTTTAATGTGCTTTTTTAGATTCCTGGACAACTTTGGAAACTTATACAAGAATGAGCATTCTACTGATTGAAGCTTTTTATGGAGGTTCGCACAAGCAGTTAGTAGATCTTCTTCAAGAGGACATAGAAGATTGTGTCCTCTTTACTCTCCCTGCAAAGAAATGGCATTGGAGAGCTAGAACGGCAGCTCTCTACTTCATGCAAACCATACCGGCCAGTGCTGATTACAGGTAAGGAGAGCTATTGCGATCCTTGTAGGTATAAAACTTGAGAGCCAGTGCTATGTAGTAGTTATAGTGTTGGACTGGGATATGGGAGGTCCAGGTTCAGATCTCTGCCACTCATTTTTGTTAACCTAATCCATCTCACAGGGTTGTTGTGAGAATAAAATGGAGGAGCAAAGAACATTGTATGCTGTTCTGAGCATATGGAGCTCACTCAGTCAATTCATTCAATACTCTGGCATTGATCTGATGTCAACTAGAGAGGGGAATGTTAGCTGTGAGAGAGAGTGAGAGAATATGCATTGCATATATGAGGCTCAGTTTCAGTCTCTGATATTTCCCAATTGAAGAACCAGTAAAAGAGAGTCCTGAAAGAAGAGATGACCAATCCCTGTCCTTTCAGGGATAACTCCATCCTACAGTCAGTGGGTCAGGAGCCTGAAGCATAATTTACTATATAAATGCATCCCCCATATAAGTGGTCAAACTTCATAATAAATCAGTAAAGGCTTTTAACTTATGGAGCATCTCAGTTTGGGTAGAGCATTGCATACTCCTATGCACGCCCATATATACACTTAGGGCCAATCGACACATTATGATTTTTAATAAATTGAGTCCAGGTTCCCTGGATGTGACTCACTTTCCTGCAGCTACATAGCACCTCTGGGGAAAGGCATTTCAAAAGTTTGCAGGGGGCCAATTCAGCTCAGGATTGTAGTATGTGAGGAGGAGGGGTTCCTGTCCCCACATGTGCTGAAATGGCCATGGACAGGAGTTATTTGGTCCATTTTGGAAGGGCACTAATAGATAATTTTTAAAAAAAAAATCAAGTAAGAAAACTCAGGCAATACTCCTTTCCTTTCAATTTGTGTGCACTTCCGATGACTCAGAAAACTTCATACCCAGCATTTAGGAAATGCTTGTGCTGTCGATAGACTTGCTTCCCCCCCCCAGGTTTAAAGAGAGGAATTCATCTTGATACAAAACTGCCTAACTACTTTCCCTGCAGTATTCATTTTATTTGTCTCAATTTTTAGGAGCCATTCAGGGTAAGGACTCGCTGGGCTGCTGCCCCATCATCTTATCTGAGATCATGAATGGAAGTTGAGGAGAGGACAAAGCTGTGATTAGCAAAGTGTTGTTTACAGACTTTACTGTAGGCTTATGACCAATATGGCATGCAGTCAGTATGTCAAAAGAAATGTATTAGCATATTTTATGTGTGTGATAGAGTAGCCCCAACAACACAGGTGCAATTCCAATTTTGTAAGCGTTACCCATTTTATCCTCCCAACATTGTTGTAAGGTAGGTTAGGCTAGGAGATTGTGATTTGTGCAAGGCCTTTCTGTGAGATTAATAGCTAGATGTAGATGTGGTCTCCCCCAATCTAAGTCCAGTACTTCCTTTGCAGCACCCAGTTGGCTCTATCATTGTCACATGCAGCTGATGAAACAATTTAGCAAACTAGAAAAAGCTGCTTCTCAGTTCTTGGAAAAGAGGTCACTGCAGCTAGCTAGTACATAGTCATAGTTTTCAATCCTGAATTTATTTGGCTTTCTTATTTAGGGGGAGAGCTTTTGAAGTCAATGCCCTCTAGGGTGAACTTTAACAGCTATATTTCTCACACTGTGGCTTAAAAAAAAATCCATATCAGTGAGCGATAAGATGAGTTAAATGAACGCTTGGGATAATGGTAACATGAGTTTTACAAGTCTGATCTTTTTTTTTTTTTTTGAAGACCAGAACTTCCTACACACATCTGATGATTCGATCAGCCAGTTTCATGCACAGAAGGAGTTGAGTGAATCCTCACTTAAGCTTTGGTTTAGCTTCCATGCTGCATCGTTTGTGTGTTTTGATTTACTATAATGCAATCTTGTAGAACTGGCTGCTTTAACAGAACTTAAAATACAAACCTTAAAATAATCATTTTCTCTTCTGGCTGTGCTTCTTCTAATTCTTTATAAGCTGCCAGTCTGAAACAAATACATACATACGATTCCATTTTGCCTGAGGTGTTGTGTGGGTTTTACATTGCCCGACTTTGAAACAATCCTATTTTGTAGGAGTATGTATGACAAACTATTATGTAAATTTTTTCTACATCACAACCGCATCCTCCAACGCATTTCAATGTTATCTCAGCTCCTTCAAGGTCAGCAGCCCAAGCTGTCCAGCACTAACTGTATTAAGCTAATCAGACATAACTCATAGGCATACACCTCATTAGTTTAACGTACAGTTACATTGACCTAAGATAACTTAATTCCAATTTGTCAAATAACTTAGATTTTAAGAGGAAAGTACTGGAAGCACTTAAAAACTGATTGGAAGTTAGCAAACTTACAATCTGTCAAGTGCGTATGTGCAATATAACCTTCACACAGCAAATAAATTTACACTAACCGTGGGGTAATGGTGACAACATTTTCGTTCCTGTTGGCATTTGATTATGGAGAAAAACATTCAACCGGCTGACATAGGTGCAGGTTTACTGAGAAATAACAACAGCAATAGTAGGAAGAAAGTAACAGTAGCTAGTCAAAGTTAAAATTGGAAATTCCCATTGGTTTCTGTCAAAGAATTAGACCTGTGCTTATTTGTTTCATACTTTTGAAGGTTCCACACCCTTTGATAGTGGTTGCAGTAATAATAACTGCGTGCTAGATAAAGGACTGGTAACAAGCAATCAATCAGTTTATTACGGTCAAAGACCCATCAAATAGCATACAGAGTCAAAAACAGTCTCCAGATTGTCATAAGGCATTACAGAGAAAGAACTTCTCAAGGAGTGTTAAGGAGGTGCTTGCGCTTTATAATTGCAATAAAAAGAAATTTAGCAACATTCCTTGAAATAGCTGTGGATTTATCCTCCAGTAGGTGTTTCAGCAAAAGTTCCTCGGACTGAATTACTAATTGTCCTTGACACCTAAATGACCTTAATAAAGGCATAATCAAAAGGGCTCTTTCTTCTACATAGTGGGAGCAATGAAATAATATATGGGGGAGGGTCTCTATTGACTCGGAAGGGCATGAGCAAAATCTCAAATGTCTGGGGATACGATGAAATCTTCCGGAAAGAACTGCAGATGGAAAAGTGTCAAATCTGGCTCTGGAAAAGGCCCATCTATGATTTGGGTTGGAAATATTAGCTAGGTATAAAGGAGCAGACATTAACGTTTTGGATTTCAGAGATTTGTAAAGAGGCGGAAGTGTGGCATACGATGTTTGTAGCTCAATATCTCTGAGACGCTGGTAAACAGTGGTTTTTGCCCTAGCATAGCCGCTTTCCAAAAGTTGGTACGGGTCTAATCCTAATGTTCTCAGTTTGTTAATGACTCTAGTGGACCACTGAGGGTAGGGAGATGTAGCCAGTAGTAAAGGAAATAACCCGGTGGGAAAAAGGTGGATTTTCAGCCAAAAGCAGAGAGAATGCATCCAAATATTCAGCTCGACTGTATTGAGACCGGCTTCTTGTCTCACCATGACATTGGGAGTACATCTTGGAGTGTTAAATAGGGATCTCAGGAATTTTGTTTGGACCAATTCTAGCGCCTGAAGATTAGTAAATCGCATAATTTGTGTCCCATATCTCATTTGGGCTAGAACTTTAGCAGAAAAAAGTTTCAAGGCAGCTGGTATATAGTGAGCACCATCAAGGTAATAGAAGTGGAAGGATACGTTATTCTGAATATGGGCTGCTGCAGAATATGGTGGATTTCTGTTGCATTCTCCTACTGCTCCCTGTGCCCTGTAGGTAGACTTACCCCTCTCATTATGTCCTTAATCCCTCACCCCTACTTTTCCCAGTGGGTCTTACTTAAGTAAATGTGCAATATAAAACTGTTAAAACACTTCCTTATTATAGGGAAGGAGTGTAATTTTATTTATTTATTTAAATTTATATCCCACCCTCCCTACCAGGGCAGGCTCAGGGCAGCTTATATGAAGTATATAAAACAGCTAAAACAGAATTTGAATAAAATCATAATACAATTATAAACATAACATAATATAAAGTGCTAGTACAGTTTATATCATGCTGTCGGGCATTAGCAGCATCCACAGGCAACATCCAGCTAACATCATAGTCTGGGTTATATTAGGCTGTTGATGATGATGATGTTAATACCAGGGTCAGAGCCTCAGTTTCTTGGGTGCAGCTCCCTAATCAAAAGCCTGGTGGAAGAGCTCCGACTTACAGGCTCTGCGAAACTGTAAAAGGTCCCACAGGGCCCTGATGTCCTCCAGGAGCTCATTCCACCAGTATGGAGCCGCTACCAAGAAGGCCCTGGGCCTCGTCACAGCCAGTCTGACTTCTCTGAGGCCCGGAAGGGCCAAACGGCTTTGGGACCCCGATCGTAGTACTCTCTGGGGTACATGTGAGAAAGGTGGTCCCTTAGGTATGTAGGCCCGTGACCATATAGGGCTTTAAAGGTAAGAACCAGCACCTTGAACCAAATTCGGTATGCTATAGGCAGCCAGTACAGCACTTTTAGTGCAGGCCAGATATGCTCTCGCATAGGGAAGCCCAACAACATTCTGGCTGCTGCACCAGCTACAGGTTCCAGATTTGGGACAAGGGCAACCCCATGTAGAGAGCATTATAGTAATCCAGTCTTGAGGTGACCATTGCATGGATCACTGTTGCCAGGACATTGCGTTCAAGGAAGGGAACTAGCTGCCTGATCAGCTGAAGATGGTAAAAGACTGACTTCGCAGTGGCTGCTACCTGGGCCTCCATCATTAAGGAGGCATCCAGGAGAACTCCCAAGCTCCTAACCTCTGGTGCCGTATTGAAGGTCGGAAGTGGGATCCCTACAGTTGGGCCACTCTGACTCAGGCACAGGACCGCTGTCTTCATCGGATTCAATTTCAATTGGCTCAGTCTAAGCCAACCAGCCATGGCCTGCAACACCAGGTCCAGATCTGCCAGACTGGCTGCCCAACAGCAGATAGAGCTGGGTGTCATCTGCATACTGGTGACATCCCAGCCCATGCC